TTGGGTCCGGTGACCCTTCCTTAGAACTGAGGAAGGGTCACCGGACCCGAAACGTTAACTCTGTTTTCTCCTCCACAGATGCTGCCAGACCTGCTGAGCTTTTCCAGCAACTTTGTTTTTGTTTATAGAACTTTAGTTAGGCCACACTTTGAATACTGCATACAGTTCTGGTCACACACTACCAGAGGATGTGGATGCTTTGGAGAGCGTACAGAAAAGGTTTACTAGGATGTTGCCTGGTATGGGAGATTTCAGTTATGAAGAAAGGTTGGATAGACTGGGTTTATTTTGACTGGAATGCAGGAGGTTGAGGGGCAACCTAATAAAAGTTTATAAGATTGTGAACAGCATGGATAGACTGGAAAGTATGAGGCTTTTTCTCAGGGCAGAGGAGTCAATCACTAGTGGATACATGTTCAAGTTGTGAGGAAGGAAGTTTAAAAGAGATGTGCGAGGCATGTTTTTCCATAGACAAACTGGTGAGTGCCTGGAAAGCGCTGCCAGGGGTAGTGGTGGAAGTAGACATGATAGCAGCATTCAAGAATCACCTGGACGAATACATGAATAGGAAGGGAATTGAGGGACACGGATCCTATAAGTGAAGACAGTTTTAATATGGACGGGCAAAATATGCCGGCACAGGCTTGGAGGGCCGAAGAGCCTGTTCCTGTGCTGTATTGCTCTTTGTTCCTGTTCTAAAACAAATTACCTGGTTATTATTTGCTGTTTGTCAGAGGTCACTTTGTGGAGATTGACTACCATATCTGCCCACTCTACAAAAACGACTTTACACAAGTTGACTGAAGACCTTTAAAAGACATAAAAGAAGCCAGACAAAGAACAGAAGACCAAATAGGGTCAATTAGGTAGGCCACATACAGATTTGTAAATGAGGATATGGATTTTGTAATCAATTTCCAAGTGCATTGGTAAAGATCAACCCTTCAACTATACGACACCTTAACTCTCCTCAGGATGTAAGCAAACCCAGCAGCCAAATTCTACAACACAGTCCCAGAAACAACAACTTGTTGGATGAGGAATAAATATTGGTCACAACACTGACAGAAGTACCCTGAATAATGCTCAGGCATCTTGAGAGGTCACCCAAGTATCAGCAATTTGAATGGTTTAGATCTAACTCAGTAATATGCTGAAGTGTCAATCAGGATTCCATGCTCAAATTGCCATAATGGATCATGAAGCCATAACTGTCCATCTCAGAGCCAACAGCGATACCAATGAATATGGGCTGCTATTGCACAAAGATTGGCAACTACTGCTGTGATAAAGCAAGAAAGAGAAAGGGCATCTTTCATAATAGTGGAACATCTCAAAGCCAACACGCTACAGGTGAAGTGCAGTCAGTGTTGTAAGTTAGGAGACACACCTGTCAAAAGGTGCTACAGGCAACAATATGATAATAACCAGATAAACATTTTTAGTGCTTTTGGTTGAGGGATAAATATTGATAAGGTCACTAGGAAGAACTTTCCTGCTCTTCTTCAAAATACAACCTTGTTCTTTTTAACATTGTTCTGAGGCTACAGATGGAGCATTGATTTATTGCATCATTTCAAAGACTGCAATAATTCATTCTTTAACACATTGGAATGTCAAATTGCTGAAATTGGACTTAACTGAGAAAACATCTGGTTCTGAGATAAGAATGCTAATTTGTAACTTGCACTCATAATAGGGGAGCAGCTCTTAAGGCATGTTGGGCAATGCGTAGCAGGGACTTGTAGGTGTTGTAATTTGTAAAAGGATAAGAATTGCAAAAGTACCAAGAAAAGCATTAGAATAACAGCCTAAAGGTAACATGAACATGGATTGATCTTCATGTGACTCCAGAAATACAATGTGGTCTTAACCGTTCTCTGGGTAATAAGACATAGTTAATACATGTTGGCCTAACTAGTGAAACCCAAATACCATGAACATTTTTTTAAAAAAATCTTGAGTGACAGCATAATCCAGAGACACGACTTTAAACCCATGATTATCATTAAAGTCAGGATGAAGAACGGTATCAAAAGGAAAGCTGGGACAAGCCCAAGGTGGAACAAAAATCATTGCAGGCAGTATGTTGGTTGTACAATGGCAGTTAAAAATCAAGCTGTACTAGGACAGTGAAAGAGAGAAATTAGAAGTTATCCACAGAATATGCTGAACTTTCTGTTTCTTTATTTTTTAAATTTACTCCTGAACTCCTGTATCTAGGTAACTTTATGCCTATGATGGCGCTGTAAGTGGCAACTTTGAAAACTTTTCACTGCACTCATGTGAGAACATGTGACAATAAACCTAATTCAAATTCTAATTATAGGTGGTACTTTCTGCTTCTGGAGCAGCAACTATTGTGGTGCCTTGCTAATGTATAAACAAACAGGAGCATGCTCAAATGACAAGTAATAACTCACAATGAGATGTCCCACAGAGAATTTAGATGTCTTAGCTAAGACAAGTTGGAAAGAATCAGCTTCATAATTGTGAAGTTCGAGAAAAATACGGGAAGTGATAAAGCATGGCTAATGTTCCCTACTTACAGTTAGGTGTTCATGAAAACAATTTATGAGTTTGACAAGATATAAACTGGAAAGCTGTTTTAAAGTCACAATAGTTTTTGATTAAATCATTCCTATATTACACAAGATTCAATAATGCTGAATTTGGCCCAGTTTGGCAAAGAAACGTGGAAAATCATAGATGTGAACCATTGCACTATCACTTCTTGACGTGTACCATAGTAGACACCCAAGCTTTCAGCTTGAAAATTATTTTTCCAATAAACCAATACAATAGTTCTCAGATGAAAGCAAAGCATTTGCCAACTTCAACTAGAGGGAGTTACTAATATATACGATGTAAAAATTTAGTTTTATTTCAAATAAATAGATACACATTCTTACCTTATAGAACAGAATTGTGAAGTCACGTATCACTTTTACAAGATGGTGTATTTGTTCAGCTGATAAGCGCCAAATCTGTGAGAAAGGACATGCTTCTGAGATAAGTATTTTGAATCATTTCCAGCACAGGTGAACTTGAATCCAGGTTTTCTGGCCCAGACACCGGGATTTTACCACTGTGCTGCAAGCACCAATGCATCCGAGCTATTTTCTAATCAATCTGGTCAGTGATATTATCACAACACCACAAGTGCTCAATGCGTCTGAGATATTGGTTTACCTCAAATCATTGACAGTTGCTGTTTGATTTCAAACTGGAAACAATTTTTTTTCTTTACTTTACAAGGCTTTACAATACCTTTTGATAATCTGGAAACGAATAATACTCCAAATAAAGTGGAAACTTTAACCACCAGTGCAGCTTACTTCAGGCATAGATGTTGCTTGGAGCCTGTGTCTGAACTGGCTGTACAGCTTAATTTAAACTGGTCTGAGAATTACTCTACAAAAGGTGATAGAGATCTGAAACATTGTATTATTTAATTAAAATTAACCATTCACAGGTTTACATTACTTTTAAACTGAAGTACAAAATAATGAATAATCTCATTGCTATCTATAAGGCAGCCTTTAATGGAGCCCTCAAAGATTTTGCCCACCAGCTGGAGAGCCACAGAGAGCACTGTACCACCTCCTGAGGGAAGGCCCACCATATCTCTGGCACTCAGACACTTAACCGGATAGTGGCAGCCATTCCCAGGACACATGTTCTGCCTACCAAGTGGTGCTGGCCTTTCAGAAACCACCAATTTTATTTAACAGCAGCACCACAAGGGAGCTAGTGCTTGCTGTTGGTAAATCCCCTGTACAAGACCAAATGCTTTCGCGAGGTCTCCAGTCTCAGGTGAATAATGATGAGAGGGATGTCACAAGGTAAAGGCTGTGGAGATGGTGGGGTTAGCAGTAAGGGAAAGGGTGCTGCTCTCAGCTCGACCACCCACTTCTCGATGCTGAATCCCTTGTTCAGGGACTAAGGAATTTTGAATGAGACCCACTGGAAGACTGCAAGCAATCCAGCACTGGTTTGCTTTTTATTTTTGCACAGTGCCTTGGGACATTTACTGTGAAAGCACTAAATGAATGCAATTTGCCGTTACCAATACATTAATTTAATCACAATAGGCTGGGTTAAACTGAAAAAAGAATCATACAATGCTCTTGATTCCTTTGAGTGCTCAAATATACACTACATCATTTGTTTCACAACCTCTCCAGCCTGAATTTCTGACAGCAGCTTTATAAATCTATCCAGAATTGAGTCGTGACTGACCAAAATAATTAACTTCAAAAATCAGCTAATTGGGTTATAAGCAGGTCTGCAAAAGTTCTCAAAACAAGAATGTTAGCTCACATTTGAAATCAAACATATTTGTGGATAGAGGACTGCACAAGTGGTCAACTAAACATTGAAAAAGTTTATCAAATGTCATGAAGAGGCAAGTCCCATTCAGAAATTGCAACTGAGACACAGAATTAACAAAGTAATCAGAAATTAAATGGCTGGTCTTCTGTGAAATGTATTAAACACATAATTAGGAATGTAACATTCAGCATTTGATAGGATTTTGGAGTGTTGAATAACTCTTAGACCAAAGCTTTGAAGTTTCTGGGGTCTGTGGACTGGAAAATTGAGATGCTGGTCAACAGGTTAGCTAGGGGAGAAAGCTACAACAGCAGTCTGTGAGGATGATTCCCATTAAATGAGAATCATCTTATGTTGGTGTGGGAGTGGGGTAAAGAACTGGACAGACAATTGGGAGAGAGGGGCTAAACAAATAGGATGCAGTTTGGTTGGAGAGGGACGGCGTGAAGTATACACGTTGTTCAGTGAGTTGGACAATCCTGGCAGCAGATTGCTCGAGCAACCAAAGAGAGTGAGGGTGAGGTGAGTGAACGAGAAAGGGGAGCACACGCTCCTGTTGCTCTCCAAAGCATTGTTGAAAAGCACTTACTTGCTTGGTCCATCTGTTCTAGCCTCCATTCAATTTCTGGGCTTCCCTAGCTCTGGGAAATCTAAAGTGCCAGAATAAATTCAAACATCTCAAAATCTAATTTAAAAAAAGCATCTTCATTGACAAATAGCATTCATGGAGCCATCACTGCAGAGTGGACAGTGACAAACATCTAATGGCCTTTTAAATGAAGTTACTACTTTTTTTATTCGTTCCATTCTCAGCCAATGGGTTAGCTCTCCTCCACATCTAACACCACTTGGAGGGCATACTGAGGGAGCCAAGGGCCCAGAATGTAGTCTTGGTGGGTCACTTCGATGTCCATCAGCAGCATATATATATCTAGCTGAACTTGCCAAGTCCTAAAGGATAAAATTATTTAACTGGGTCTGCAGCAGGGGTTCAGGAATTCAACTTTCAGTAAAAAAAACACTTGACCTCACCTTCCAAAATCCAACTACAGCAGATGCATCTGTCCATGGCAGCATCAACAGAAGCGACCTTCACACAATCTTTGTGAAGACAAAGTTCTGCCCTCATATGGAGCACACTTGCCATGTTCTATGACACTTACACTGGGCTAACTGGGTTGGATGCATTTTGGAAAGATCTAGCCACTCAAGACTTGGTATCCATGACACACTTTTGGGCAGACAGCAGCAACCTGAACTATATTTTACTATAATCTGTAACAAAATGGTCCAGCATACCCTCAATCCAACAAAATCACTAAGCATAGCTAAAAAAAAAGGGTATCAACCTGTTGCATGCTAAGCAGCATAAACAGTATGCAATAGACAGAGCTAAGTGATCCCACAATCAATGCATCAGGTCCAAGCTATGCACGCCGGCCACATCCAGTTGTGAATGGTGGTGGACAATTAAACAACTCATTGGAAAGGGAAGCTCTACAGATATCCCTTTTGATTATGGGAGGTGGGGCAGGTTGGAGTCCAGCACATCAGTGCAAAAGACAAGGCTGAAACATCTGCAAGCATCTTCTGCCAGAAGTGCCTACTAGTCATGCCATCTCAGCTTCCTCCTGTGATCCTTATCGCAGATACCAACCTTATTCTATTCACACCACTTGATATAAAAAAAAAAGCTGAATGCACTAGATAATTCAAAACCTATGAATCCCCAAAATATTCCAGCAATGCTACCAAGGATTTATGATTCAGCACTAATCACACCCCTAGCCAAACCTAGGTAATACAGTTACAAAATTGGTATCTACCCAGCAATGTGCAAAACTGCCCAGGTATATCCTGTCTGCAAAAATCAGAACACTCAATCTGGCCAATTACTGCCCGATCAGTCGAGACTCAATCATCAACAAAGTGATGGAAGTGGCCATTGACCTTGCTATGAAATGGTATTCACTCAATAATAAATTGCTCATTGACGCTCAGTTTGGGTTCTACCAGGCTCACTCAACTCCTGATCTCATTACAGCACTTGTCCAAACATGGACAAATAAGCAGAACTCCAGAGAGAAAGGGTGACTTCCCTTGACATCAAGGTAGCCCTTGACCAAGTATGGTATCAAGAAGCCTGTGCAAAATTGTAGTTAATTTAAATCAGAAGAAAACTCTCCGTTGATTGAAGTCATAATTAGCACAAAGGAAGATGGTTGTGGTTGTCAGAGGTCATTCAACTCAGTTCCAGGACATCTCTGCAGGAGATCCTCCGCGTGTTGTGCAAGGTGGAACCATCTTCAGCTGCTTCATTAATGATTTTCCCTCCATTTTAAGGTCAGAAGTGGGGATGATGGCTGATTATTGCACAATGTTCAGCACCATTCATGACTTCTCAGCTACTGAAACACCCCATGACCAAATGCAGCTAAACGTGAACAATATCCAGGGAATTCAGGAGAAAGCAATAAATGCTTACCCAGCTTGTGACACCAGCAAATGAATTTTTAAAAAAATGTTGACCAGTTCCCATTAATGGCAAGCAAATATGGACTCAGCTAAGTAAGACTTTTACCTTCACAGTAGGATGTAAGCTGCTATCAAACATGGATTCATTTTTAATAATATTTCCCACTCCAGGAAACACAGTCTGGTCCAACAGCACATCACAGATCATGCGGGCACCATGTTGCTTCAATTCATTCTCAGCTCGGGAATAACTGAACCTCGCTGAGCAAACATCCAATTCTTCCAACAATTTTACTTTCTGTTCACAATCAGATGTGCTCCTGATTGATGATAAAAAAAACTGTTAAATTTAAGTCAACATAAAACATTGTTAGTTTTCTCTATACATTGAAATCTAAAGTTTCTTTCCTTTTCCAGTAGCAACCTCATCAGCTGAATGAATAGACATATTGAGGTAACTTAAGGAAATTGCAACAACTGACTTTCCATTTAAGTACAAATAATGCTGTAATTTGAAATAAATTTCCAAACACCTATTAACAGTAAGTGATAAGATCATTCATAATAGGAGGTGAAATCACGCCTCACCGGATAGCATGCTGGAAGCCAAGTCCCACTATTCCCAGAGCCGTCACAAAACAAATGTTTTATCAAATGATGCAAATTATCCCAATTTGCCTATCTTGTTAGGCCCAAATTAATAGAAAGCACGGACCAGGTTTCTAACTCTAACCTCTTTATAAAACTCTCCATACACACACATGCAGACAGACACCAAACAAAAATGGTATAATGGCTGAAGGTTAAAATTAGTAAGGCAATTCAGTGGTCCTTGTCACAGGGTTTACGGACAGGGTCATTTTGGTTTGCCAAGACTTGCTGCTCCTCAATCTCTCTTGGGCTTCAATTCCTCGTCCCTGCCCGCTCTCCTTGATTCCCTGAGACCCCAAAAATCTGCCTAGCACAGACTTGAACATAATCAGCAATATTGCATCGACAACCTTCTGGGATGGACAATTCCAAAGATTCACAACCTCTTGAGTTAAGAAATTTCTCCTCATCTCAGTCCTAAATGATTGGCCCATTATGCAAAACTTGCCAGGAGAAGCAGCCTCTCCATTACTTCAATTTTCAAAGGACATTTTGTAAAATTTTGCGTTTGAACCTCTCAGTCTTTGAAACATGAGCAATTAGATATTAGGTGGCTGCACAGAAAATGACCATTTCAAAAGGTAAAAGGCATCTGGGTTGGGTTAAGTGTCCCGTGGATATTAAATCCTGCGCCCTCTCATATTCTGTTTTGTTACTCCGATATTTAGTTGTCCACAATATTTGTAAGTGGTATGGATGATTTTACTACCAGTATTTGATTTTTGTTAATTCATCATGGGACGTGGACTTCAATGGCTGGACAAACATTAGGTGTTGATCTCTAATTGTCCTTGAGAAGTCAATAGTGAGCTGTCTTCTTGAATGCTGCAGTTTATTTGGTGTAGGTAGACCCACAAAGTTGTTAGGGAGGAAGTTCCAGGATTTTGACAAGGAAAGACACATAAGCCCTACAGGGAGTGCAATGGAAGTTCACCAATTAATTACTAGGACTGAAATACAGTCCTATGAGGAAAGATTAAGTACACCGACCAATACCTTCTGAAATCTAGAAGAATGAGAGGCGATCTCATTCAAACATACAACAAACAGACCACACCATGGTTCTGGAAGCAAAAGACACATTCTCAGAATAAGGAATAGCCCATTTAGGACAGCTATGAGGAGGAATTGCTTCACTCAGAGGATGGTGAAACTTGACAATGCTCTGTCCCAAAGGACTATGGAGGCTCATTCATTGATATGTTCAAGACTGCTCTTGACAGATTTTGACATTTTAAAAACATCAGGGGAATACAGTGATAGTACGGGAATAGTATTGAAGTAGATGACCAGCCAGGAAACTTCTTCCTAAAGGAATGTATTATCATAATAAATCAATTATATTTATTAGGATACTTTCTCTGAAGATTAAGCCACACAGATTTCATGCTAAAATATATTCCCAATAGTCTGTGGAAGAAAGGCATCAGTTGTGGAAATAGTCAGAAGTTGTGTATCACTCCAGTCTCTTGATCATGATATCTTGTTTGACACTCCAATGCAGTACGAACAAAGTGCAGCACACAGAGGGCCATCTTTTAGATGACATATTAAAATATTGAAGGACATTATTTAAAAAAAGGGGAATTCTCCTAAATGTCCTAGCTAAGATCTCTCTGAGGCTACTTAATAAAACGCATGGTGTTGGATATAATTATTAATAATGGACTACAGCAATTCAAGAAGACAGCTTACCACCATCTCCTCACTCCTCAAAGGCAGTGAAGGATGGCTCTAAATGCTGGCCAGCCAGCGATGCCGACATCCCTCAAGAAAATTTTTTTTAAAAAAGCATAGATGGGCGTTGGTGAACTAAGAGTAAACAGAGAGTTATGATAAGAGAACATTTTCAGGATGGTAACCTGCAAATAATGGAGCGCCACAGTGCCAGTGAGGCCACAATTATTTACAAAATATATTAATAGCTTGGATGAGGAAAATGAATGCACAGTCGCCAAGATTGCGGATAATAGTAAATAGGTGGGAAGGCAAGTGTTGAGGATGACACAAAAGGTCTGCAGACGGACAAAGCCAGGTTACCTGAATGATCATAAACTTGGCAGATGGAATAAAATGTGGAAAAATGAGATGTTATGCACTTTGGCAAGAAAAATAGAAGAGCTGAATATTAGTTAAATGAAGGAAGACTGCAGAAAGCTACACAACAGAGGGGTTTAGGTGCCCTTTTGCATAAATCACTAAGATGCTAGGACCCAAGTCTAGCAGGTCATCGGGAGGGCAAATGGAATGTTGTCATTTATTTAAAAGGAAATGGAGTATAAAAATAGGGAGGTCTTGCTACAACTACACAAGGCATTAGTTAAACCATAGATAGTAGGAACTGCAGATGCTGGAGAATCCGAGACAACAAGGTGCAGGGCTGGATGAACACAGCAGGCCAACCATTCCTAGAATACTGTAAACAGCTTCTGACCCTTATCTAAGGAAAGTTGGATTGGTCTATAAAGCTATACCTATCCCAGATATGGAAGGTTTTTTTTGAGAGGTTAAGTAGAACTGGCCTGTACACGTTAGAGTTTAGAGGAATGAGGCGTGACCTTAATGAAGCAAACAAGACTCTTAAAAGCTTGACAGGGTAGATGATGAGAGATAGTTTTCCATTGTGGGTGAATCTAAAAGAAGAGGGCATAATCTTAGAGTAAGGGATCACCCACTTAAGAAAGAAACAAGGAGGAATTTCTTCTCATAGAGGGTAGTGAATCTGTGGAATTCTTTACTGCAAAAGGCTGTCCAGCCTGTGTCGTTAAGTATATTCAAGACAGAGACTGATAGACTTCTAATAAGTAAAAGAATCAAGGGAAATGACAGGAAAGTGGAGTTGAGGACAGTCAGATCAGGCATAACTCAATGAATGGCAGAGAATACTTGATGGGCTGAATGACCTACTTTGGCTCCTATATCTTATGATTTTACCTCTCAACCAACACCTAAATATCAGAATATCTGATTATTTATCATATAGCAGTTGTGGGACTTTGCTGCATGCAAATTAGCTGCCAGGCTTACTATGTAACAACAATGTATCTCAAATGTACTTAATTGGCTGTAAAATCTTTGGAATGTTCCGACATCATGAAAAGCAACAAATCAAATACAAACATAAACTCTTTACCAAATACAAAGAACTTCTATGTTTTTTATTTCTAAGATAATCACATCATTTCAAAAAAAAAGCTTAGTGCTGTCATAAATGAAAGGATTGCAACATCAGTAAAGCATCTTATCGCAAAGCATAATAATTCTATCTTCTCAGGATGGTTCATTTCTGCCTGCGTTTATTTTCATAGCAGTCAGTTGCTATTAATTTGGTTTCCTTTCAAAAATACTTACATTACGCATTTGTTTCTGGCAAACAATTTAAATGAACCAACACAATTATCCTGATTGCGTTGCTTTAATTTGAGTTCATTTTATAGACCTATTTAACATACATTTACTTACTCTACAAAGTGTAATATCAAAGGCATAAGTGCCGTTAACTGCAGTTCCGTTGCTTTTTTCAAAATCTCAAGTCACATTAAACTTACTTTTTGCACTACGTTTTCCCCCTTTTTTTATATATATCTGCATTTGTGCAATTTTTCTCTCATTTTAAATTTTGCATGTTACCTTATAATTCCAATCTCAGCATATCATCCCTGTCATTTTCCTTTGCACAAACTGTTCTCCTTCTGCACTTTTGATCAGAATTCATTAAGCTCTACTTTGCGTTGCCTTCCCTATGTAAGAGCATGCCACTTTTTGTATTCTCATGGCATTGCATTTTTTGCATCTTCTCTTCCTGCTGCATTATGTTACTAAACCTATCTATTCTGCTCAAGAGGACTATTGAAAGCTGCAAAGGTAGAATGGCAAGATGGTGGAATGAATTTTTAGACAGATGGGTTTCAAATGTGAGGTAGGAAATATTAGAAAAAATAAAATTAATTATAGTTGAAAAACTGGAAGAACAGGAGCAAAAGGAGTTTGGGCTCATATTCACAAATAATTAAAAGCAGCACCACAAGAGATAAGGTTGTAACAAAAGCCAGTGTTCGCTTGCTTTAAGGCAATATAAAACATAGAACATAGAACATAGAACATTACAGCGCAGTACAGGCTCTTCAGCCCTCGATGTTGCGCCGACCTGTGAAACCAATCTGAAGCCCATCTAATCTAAACTATTCCATTATCATCCATATGTTTATCCAATGACCATTCAAATACCCTTAAAGTTGGCGAGTCTACTACTTTTGCAGGCAGGGCATTCCATGCCCTTACTACTGTCTGAGTAAAGAACCTACCTCTGACATCTGTCCTATATCTATAACCCCTCAATTTAAAGCTATGTCCCCTCGTGCTAGCCATCACCATCCGAGGAAAAAGGCTCCCACTGTCCACCCTATCTAATCCTCTGATCATCTTGTATGTCTCTATTAAGTCACCTCTTAACCTTCTTCTCTCTAACGAAAACAGCCTCAAGTCCCTCAGCCTTTCCTCATAAGACCTTCCCTCCATACCAAGCAACATCCTGGTAAATCTCCTCTGCACCCTTTCCAATGCTTCCACATCCTTCCTATAATGCGGTGACCAGAACTGTACGCAATACTCCAAGTGCGGCCACACCAGAGCTTTGTACAGCTGCAACATGATCTCATGGCTCCAAAACTCAATCCCTCTACCAATAAAACCTAACACACCGTACACCTTCTTAACAACGCTATCAACCTGGGTGGCAACTTTCAGTGATCTATGCACATGGACACCGAGATCTCTCTGCTCATCCACAATACCAAGAATCTGACCATTAGCCCAGTACTCTGTATTCCTGTTAGTCCTTCCAAAGTGAATCACCTCACACTTTTCCGCATTAAACTCCATTTGCCACCTCCCAGCCCAGCTCTGCAGCTTATCTATGTCCCTCTGTAACCTGCAACATCCTTCCGCACTATCCACAACTCCACCGACTTTAGTGTCATCGCAAATTTACTAACCCATCCTTCTATGCCCTCATCCAGGTCATTTATAAAAATGACAAACAGCAGTGGCCCCAAAACAGATCCTTGAGGTACACCACTAGTAACTGAACTCCAGGATGAACATTTCCCATCAACCACCACCCTCTGTCTTCTTACAGCTAGCCAATTTCTGATCCAAACCGCTAAATCACCCTCAATCCCATGCCTCCGTATTTTCTGCAATAGCCAAGAATATAAAAGACAAAATATACTTGTGGATCAATATCAAATCCTAGTTAGAATACTGTTGAAAAATTTTTAAGAGTTGCTGATTAATTTTGTTTAGTACATTAATGATCTAGACACAAATGTAGTGGGGGGGGGGGTTGATCAATAAGTTTGCAGATGACACAAAAATTGGTTGCATGGTAAATATCAAGGAAGAAAACCTTAGATCATGGGATGATATAAATGGTCAGATGGGC